TACACATCATTTCTATTAACACAATCCATTAAAAATGTTATATATTTATTTACAGAGAAATTTGTTATCTCTTTACATAAAAATTTATATTGTATTTAGATCTAAAATTTAATTAAAAATTAATAATATTATAAAGTTTATTTCATAAAATGAATATGCACAATCAATAAGAAATAATTAAATTAGAAATAGTTAAATTTTACATAAGGCATAACGCAATTAGACTGTATAGCAGAATAATTTAAACTCGATAATAAACACAAATGATATATTGATCTATATGGAAAGATATTAAAAGGCACAGAAAGAAGTAATGGAATTTTCAATTAGCGAACGTGGAATTCTAGTTAATGCAATATTAAGAATCATCTGTAATGAAGAAGTGAAGTAACTACACACACACACACACACACACACACACACACACACACACACACACACACACACATACACATATAATCGATCACTTTCGTATATGATATATAATATGATTCCAATTTAACGCCATGAAATAATGAATAACATATCGAATTATTAGCCTAAAGCACCGATATGTGTGTAGATAATATATTGAGAATGATTAAATTAAGACACAATGAGATACATTTTTAATGCTTTTTCTTATAATTGCTTTGTTCAGGAAAATTTTATTATTTAACAAAAATTGGTAATATCATTTTTCAGACAGTTTTACAAGTACGTCTATAAGAAATATTTCGAATGTCTATAGAGACTAGTACAAAAAAATGACGATGAATTTGATGATGAGTTTATGCTGGAACGAAGAGAATTATTTCTACAGTGAAATAGTTCGAGAATGTTTTAAGATTTTACTTCTCCATTCCTAGCATCGTTCATAAAGTAACAAAACGATGTTTTGACGAGTGACTGTAAAATTCAACTGGCCATTTTCATTTAAAATCACTCGACGACTTCCACATTTTTCTATCTTCTCTCTGTACGTTTTCTCTGCTCACATTTCCAATTTAGGATGTAGAATCATGATTATCCCGCATGTCTCCTGGGTGCTGTCGAGCTGCTCGCCCGGAAATCGTTATGAGTACCCATCAGGGGCCGATGCATTTGATTCAATGCGTTTATCGATGGTGGTTCTTGACATGCGCTCGAAACTGATTTAAGCTACGTAATAGGAAAATCATGCTCTCGAAGTGCCTCATAGATGTTAAGGTGAATTTCCCCAGGTAATTAGCATATTACTGTTGTTGACATTTAAATCGTGCTAAGGGGAGAAAGAGAAAATACGAATCTTAAGCATTGCAGCACGACAACTTTTTTTAATCAATACCGAGCGTATGAACTCGACATTACCTTGTCTTGTAATTACATCACGGCAATTTTCTCAGCGCGTAACAAGCTCGTAATCGATCGTAGATGTCCAAGTAAAATGAGATCAACGCCTGATGTTGCCCGCAACAAACTAGTATCGGATTGTCTTGAATGTCTCAGGTTACAACTTCGTGAAAGGCGAAACTTTAGGACGTGTTCCAATCGTGTTCCAATATGTCACGTTCCAAGGAGAGGATTACATAAAATAAATATTTTTTTTGTGTTCGACAACGCAAATATTGCACAAGTTAACGTATTCGGAGGAACTTTTAAATAGATTCAAAGTGAATTTACAGCTTGTCGGATTTTCCAAAGTCAGGGATAAAAGCCCTTCGATTCAAATACGTGAAAAATGCAACTCGAGAATACTTATGTTCCTTTAAAGAAAGAATACAATTGAAAGAATGTTATTCTCGAATATTCTTTCTATTAGAAAAATTCATGTATTTTATTTTCGTAGCCGCTCATTCATTCGCTACGAGTTCTCCATCGATATCCGGTTTGAGAACCAATTTAATATTCCGTCACAGTGGATAAAGAGTACGCTTTTCTTCTCTCCCAATACAGAATAACGATAGTAATTATCATAGCCAATAGATATGAACGTGATAAGCGTTATAAAATTTTCCACAGAAATTTATGCCACAAAAATTTTATTTAGAAATTATAAATTTGTTATACATATTTATTATATATTATTATTTATTTTGAAAAACATCATTGCAATTTATATTCTAAATTACAACTCATTGACATTGTAATATATCATTATGTATTTAATATCGTATCAATCTAAATTAATTAAATAATTAATGTTAAATTTCTGTTTTTGTTTCAATTTCATCCATATGTCATTCTATTAACATGCATCAATTAATATTACATCTTTGTTCTTTAAATTATATCATGTTCCAATAGTAATAATCAATTAACGTTAATTATAAATATATATAATATGAATTGGCGAATATTAAAAACGAATTATATGATAAGGATTTTAAATCGATGATACATTTCTATTTCCAATTTGGGTCTTCTTTCTGGAAATCCATGGAGAGAAAAAAAGAGAAAGAGAAGTCTGAGAGAGTCCTGTGCAAGCACAGTATTGAATTTTCAGTGATAACGTTAGGGAAAGCTAGCGAAATAAAACGCGAGCTCTGAATTACGCGCAAATCTACTTGCGCAAAGGAATCTAACTTTTATCCAAAAGCATCAGGGAAGTGGACGTGCATTTGGAAGTGCCTCATTCATCATCGAGATAATCCTATACGAAATCGAACCAGTAATCAATTGACTCGATAATCACGCTAAATGGAATTGATAAACGTCACAAGTTCACACGTGGCTTTTAACGCGTTCGTGTGTGTCATAGACCAACCGTTATCCAGTTATCATCAAAAAGATAGCTGTGCAAACAGAGTTAGTAAGCAATTTCTGTTCTCCTAGTAATACTGTAAAAACCATATACCGTGCACTGTGTAGTTTGGATCGTGTACTAACGTTGTAAAAATTGTACATAGTGTACGATTTTTTTTTTACGGCGCGATAACGTTATAACAGTATGTTTTCGATGAAACCAGGGCACATCTCTGTTGTTCGACTTCGCGCGTATTAAAAAGGTTTAAAGCCGATGGGCCGAAGAGCAGATGTGACGAAGAGAAAATAATATTTTTCGGCTATTTTTTTACTTCAGTAATTTTTACAATATTTTCCTTGACTTATTCTCAGTCGGTCCATAAATTTTGTTGCGATGATAGCGTTGACTGTTACATGTTGAATTACGAGTTTAGTATAGCACATGAATTAAAGTAATTATTCTAATATTCATTCAATTATATAATTATAAACGAAAGTTCCAAAGTTTCTCTTTCATACATGCTTTTATAACCTTTCTAGACTCTTTTACTTTTTCTTTTTTATAAAAATCTGAGCTAATTCAACTATCATATGGAAGGAGAAGCGGCGAGTTAGGAATGACTTATGTATTTCAGTATTCGTTATTTTCTTTTTCATTTTGAGATAAAAATATACTAGGAAATTTATATTGTAGAAATAATATTTCATTGAATATAGGGCACTGTTTGCCTGTTGCTTGTAAAGTTACGGAAGTTTATATAACTTTGCTCACATTTTTCAGTATTCATCTCATCACCAAACTCTGACTTTCCTACACAAAGCAATAAGAGAGAAGAGTCACATCAATCGCAACTTGTTAGAAAAATCTCACCTTGTTCGCGGATTCATTTGCTGCATCTCAAAGAGCTAATTATGCCGTAGAATTCCTTGTTCTTGCAGCATTAAAGAGAAAGAAAACACGATTATGTATTCCATGGTAAACAAAGAGCTTGTCCCGATTTCATTGGCTCACGATATTTACCTTCAAGTCATTTCACGCAATTTTTCACATACGATGCGGATAGTTTGCTTCGTAATATATCTCTGTAAAATACGTTTTTGGAAAATGAAATAATAAAAAATGATCGATTAATTATCGAAATTGTATAAGCTCTAATGATATAAATCAATAATAAATAGAAAGCCTCTGAGAGCCGACACAAGTTATCGTTGAAAATAAGAATTTATTATTATCAGGTACAAAGTTAATTTGCATCGCCTCTCTGAGGCTTTCCATTCATTATTAAGTTATCATAATATTTTAATCGAACATGAGAAATTAATTAATATTATAATCTTTTATAATATTTTATATTTTATTTAATCTTTTATAATATTTTATATTTTATTTAATATTTTATAATATTTTATATTTTATTTAATATTTTATAATATTATAATAATATAATATTATAATATTTTATAATAGTGAAGAAAAAGTGTACAAAAAAGGAGATTATTAACAACCAATTTCAGTTGTAAGATGTTTTACAATGTGATCTATATAAAGGTATCGTATCAAAAATTATATGATGCATTTAAGAAGAAATTATTTTTAAAAAATGTAGATTTTATGTGTATTATGTATACATATGCATTGAACTTAACGCCATTATGAAGCAACTTTGAAAGGACCCTCTGAGCCCCGAATGCAAAAGAGTTAATCTTGTTATGTACGTCTAAATAGGTCAGCGAGCCACGTTTACATATTTCGCAGGTAAGGATGAATCGGCAGAACAGAGTATTCTCTCGCCGTTCCCCTTGGTGGCAGTGACATCGTGGTCGGCAGGGTCCAGGGGCCCATGGCCGGGAATTGTTTTCGCCGGTTCTGGTGGTGGCTCCCGATCGCGGTCCTATCCGGGTGCTTCTTCCTCCCCGCAATCGAAGCCGGTATTTCGTGCACGTCCACCTATCCCGTGACATCGCGCGACGAGCGGTCCGACGCGGACGTAATAATCTTCCTGGGCGAGAGATGCGACGGGGAGATCAACATCACCGAGATACAGGATCACTTGGAGCACGCGCCCGATCTAACCAGCGAGCTCTCGATCAGCGTGCTGCCGAGATCTCGTGAGTATATCATTTGCGTTCGACTTTATTCAACGATGCGATGTTATGGAAGAGTGTTGCAAATTTTATACGCCTATCTAGTTGGAAAATTACAATTTGGATATTTTATGTAATTACATAGTGAGAGGCGTGCAATTACACTGAGAGAAAAAAGATGGTTGAAATAACCATATTAATTATAATAACCTGAACACTGAATTATGATCATAATGATTATAATATATTCATTTAACTAATTGTATGGTTATCTTACACACAAATCATATTTGCATATAGTAAATTATACTATAAAAAATAAAATGTTGTAACTGTACATATAAGATTATTGTTATACTTAACATTACATAGCAATAATAACTACATATATAAAAATACTGCTCCTGACTATAATTATTTTACCATGCAATTATAATCACAAATACAATATACATTTCTCTCAGTACAGAGTATAATCCAAAAAGTATAAAAGAACATTGAAAATTTGATACAAATAGCTGACGATATTTAACGATGTGATAATTAATTATACAGGAAAATTCATATACGGAAGACAATGAAACCTAAGACATACCGCACAGCACGTAGGATCGTAATTTCGAATACATTAATTAATTTAAGGGTTATTTCTCTCACCCGAGTAATTAATTACACTCACCTATATGTTTACTGCATGCCAGAGTCGCAACATTAAATTTTAGCGTTCATGCCTTCCTCACCGAGAGTAATGGTATTACGCATATATTCATATAATATATAGAGTGTAATATAATGATTCGCACGGCTCTATTACGTGTTATCAAGCCGACCCTAAATTTACACACACATGAATTACATGATATTCAATAACCCAATTACGCATTCAAATCGAAACTCGGTCAGTTATGCGTTTGGCATAAGTGCCGGGCTGGTGAAACGCAAAGAGCCTAGCTTTCGAATGACATTTATCTATTTATGAATGGTACGTGTCTCGCGAAACGTAACGAAACTGGAATACGCGACGACGCGACTAGAATATAATGCGATTTGCGTGGCACGAAGTTGATACGTCGAGCTCGGAGAATGGCTCAGACGATTCCCAGGCGTCGCAAACTCGATCTTCCTGAGAGAGTGGCCGCGAGAGATCCGCATTCAGAAAGCGCCGCTAATAGCATCTCCATCGTATTGTTTGAACCGTTGTATCTTATACAATCGCCAACGGCCGCATAGATACGCGTACGTATCTCGTATAGAGAGGTATACATACTCCCGTCTAAACAGAATCATGTTTCAATGCGACGAGCCGAACACCGGGTTCGATGTTGCGTTACTGTACCGTACTGTACCGACTGTAACGAGGAAGTACGAGAGAGCGGTGGTTGTCTCATTATTATTCCAGATGAAAGAGGATAGCGAGCTTATTGAAATCGATAGCTGACCCACGAACATATTGAAAATTGCATTAAATCAATGTACGTCACACCCTCTTTCGCTCTGTAATGTGTCTCTCTTACGTGTTGCTGGTAACAAGTTTTCGCGGTGGACGATCGCCTGGCCCGGTTCCAAATTCTTTGATTGTCGTCCGCCCACCAAGAATTAAATGGCATGATTAATTAACTTTTAGTGACGTGTGAGACGGAAACTGGAGGCCTCGGCGCGCTGATACACGCTCTCGGTGAGAGCAACACGAAGGCAGTGATAGCCGCGCTCGACAGCTCGATCTGCGAAGTCGCCGCCAAACTCGCGCATCTTGGGAATAAACTGCTGTTAACTTGGACTTGTCCGCTGGTGAGTGTTATCGCGTTTACTTGCAGACGGTTTTCATAGCTTATACGGAGCCGTTGAACGGCAATTAAGATACCGAATATATGTGTATTTTGGAGAATAATTAATCTTTCGAAAATATTTGATATAAAACAAAGCTGTATATTGGATTTTTTTTCTTGAAAAATAACTGCAGAGAGAAAAAAGATGTAAAATTTTTAATCGCGTTATAATATAGCATCCTCATGTATATTTAACTGTTATTGACTTTGTATCAATTTTTGAACGAATTGATTTGTTCAGAAAAGCTGTTGTCTATGGGTATTTTAATATTTTATTATTCTATATAATAAAATGTTAAAATAAACTAACTTTCCAAAATTTAAATGGTTTATTTAATTTTCCTGTCCAAGTAATATTTATAATCCATATTTCGTTTTGTATTTAAATTATATCAATGCAAATTATTTTATGTACAGATTGCAACATATGTTTTTCGGAATATTAGAATGTCACTTTGACTGGGTATTATTATTATTATTATTTTAAAAAATTAAATCGCACTCTATAAAATAATAAAATAATCAAAATTGAGTCACGAGGCGACTGACGAAAGGAAATATTAAATATCTATAAATGTTGCGATGTTTATTGCAGGACGCGTTTGTAGTTAACCGTAAAATATGACGCGATGTTATTTAGTGACGTTGTATTTTTTCCCCGACGAGCAAAAGTTAAAATAATGAAAATGCGTGTACACGTAAATTATTACATACATCGTAATATCCGGGCTAAAATTGGAAAGGTCGTAAATTTTGTCTTGGTCTCTGTGCAATTGATTCTGCTGGAAGAGCCAATTTTAATACTGACTTGTGAGCTTCATTTGAATTGGACCTGAAACGGTTATTTCCTGTTATTTAGTTTTCTAATTGGCGTACGTTCAATTATAGACATTTCCGATGCAAGGGACAAACTTGCAATGTATCTCCATCGGGTATCTCGACGATCTATAATATAGAGCTTCGTCAAATTTCCTTCCTTTAATTCACCATGAACTTTGTCGATAAAGCACATTTACTCGAATGAAATAAATTGTCACCCCACGAAAAACTTTATGTGCTTTTAGATATTTCATACGTTTCCCAAGGCGACAGTTATGTCATCGTTTCAGCGAATATACTTTCGGATATTCCTTGACTCGTCTGAAAAGACAACTGAACTTCGCAATACCGTTATATTTGTTTAACCTTTATTTGTTTATCCTTTTCTGGAATCAAAAAGAGCAAAATAGAAATTGTTTTAAAATGTTATTATTGCAGAGTATGTCTGTAAGGAATATTTTGGATTTTATTTTACATTGAGAAATACAAACAAATCTACGCATATGTGTTATTGCTTTTGAAGAGATGTATACGTTAAAATAAATATTCTGAAAATTTTTACAAATATTTCTCTATAAAACAATTTTATTCGTGATATTGATTTTAAATATAATAGATACGCCGTAGATAGAAAATGAACCGTCTCAGTATCATCTCGTTAAAATTTGAGATCATGAATATTTATCGATAACTTATGTTCCAGAGAGATTTAAAGGAAAAGGATCTACCTTCGATCATTAGGCTTTCTCCATCATTACCGTCAATGGCAAATGCCGTAGCGGAAATATTTCTACACTTGCAATGGAAGACGGCGGCTGTTATTAGCATAGGTAAGTCTCCGAATAATACATATATATAATTGCTTTAAATAAATTTTATTATGCAAATAATGTTAGTGATAAAAGAATATTATTTCAATTTTTATTTGATTTTAATTTGTTTTATTATTTATTCAATACGTATTTTTTCACACTATCCATTTGATTTAAATTAATTCAAAACTGAAGTATTATAAAATAAAAAAATAATAGAAAGTAACTTTTTCACGTGTAAAGAAAAAAATTATATGTACTATTTAATTTAACTAAATTAAATCATTTTATTTTTAATTCTTTGGTACTATTCCTAGTACATACACATAACCCTGAGATTCTTTTATTTTATTATGTTAGAACTTTCTTATTAATGAGATATGTTTATTACTGTTAAATTCCTTGATGTTTGGCGTTTCGATTAAAAATAAAATATTTCATTTTTGTGCGATATTTAGATATGTAGTAGATAAATAGATACATGATAAAATAATATAAAGTGATATCGAAGGATTAAGAATATAATTTATAAAGATATATTTTTAATAGAGATTGCGTATGACAAGCTATACTTAAAGCTCTTGATTTATCAACGCAGTTCATATTAATCATTCTTGTTCGAAACAATTCTCTTTCCACTTTTCTCTCATTAAAAAGTTCCTTGAAATTTAACCTAAATATAATTGACATTTTCAACAAAAATGTATTTCGTAACAGTTAATTAAAATTTGCAGTCCTTATTAATTCACAACTTAGCTTGGGAATTACGTAACGTATTTTGCAAGCCGTCTCCATCAAACGATGCGAGAGAATAAATGTGCGACGCAAAAAAAGGTCATTTATTCCAACGTGCGCTGCACGAAAAAAAATTACATATGGCTATTCAACCCTGACGTCACAGCCCAATCTGACTCGGTCGAGCTACGGATTAAATTGCAAATGCAAACAATATGAAAGGATCCGGGATGATAACGACGATAACACTCAGTGACAGACCGAATTATGCTGACTGCCTGACTGTCCATTAAAACGTGATTGCTGCGCGATGCGATGCGCGCGTTGAATTTTAATGTACGTAGACAGAGAGATACGATTAATACCACAGATCGCGAACCGTGGTCCAGCCTGGACCGTGCCATGATCAATGCATTCCGACGAATCGGTGTCGTCCTGCGGTATCATCTGATTCTACCCCATCGCGCAACCCTTGAGCAGATCCGCAGAATTCTAAGGTCCGTGCACAGTGTCTCCCGTCGTGGTAAGTAATGCACCCTTAATCCCATTATACGGAAACTCGTGGGCATTACTCGGCACTTACAGCTCCGACTCTGAGGATTCTCTCTTCCTCCCTCCCTCCCCCCCCTCCCCTCTCTCTTTCTCTTTCTCCGCTGAAGTACTGAACTACTGAAACTAGATTGAGGATTAAATGGCACGAGCTGACGCACCTTCGTTCTGAATGGCGACCGACACAACATGTACACGCGTCCCTCTCATCCTTTCCTTCTGTTTCCTTCTGAGAGCCCTTCGTGATCGAGAACATTTATGCAGTTTGCTTCATGACTCGTACAACGCAATTTGATGACGATGCCATCAGCTCCGCACTATTCCAAATGGTGTTCACAACTTAATCCTTTAATTACGTTCCTTTATCGCTAAATAACGTAAATTTATAAAGTGCCTCGGAACCTTCAACTTTTATTCGATTTAATCTGATTCAAAGTTGATTTATATTCTTCGCTAATACGTACGAAAGGTCTTTTATTAAAAAGTTTCAAAATTTTATCATTTTCCGAGATGCGAGTAACGTCGAAAAAGAGGGAATCCATCATCAAAATAAACATGCAGATTTATTACATTTCTGCAAAGTAAATTAGTTTAAAAATTAATATCGCTCATAAAATCATGTAAAATAAGATAAAAAAGAAAAATAAAATAAGATAAATAAATACAGCGTGGCAGTATAGATAGGTGAAAGTTATTGCTGTTTATTTGCCCTTTGAGAATTGATCTAAATGAAAATCTATTTCTGAAATCTCTTTACAAATCTTTTATTCTGCACTTTTCGTAGGGATGAAGACAGCTCAGTAAGCGAAATTCCCAGAGTAAAAATAACAGACAAGAAAATTGTTCCCGCATGTATGCGGTATGTGTTTATAGAGGGTTCGTGAAGTTAACAACGTCTTTCTAAATGTTTCCTCCGTACATAAAAGACGTAGAGAGACTTATATTCAACCGCTGAGCCAAGCTTAACGGCAATAAAACCCACCTGCAACCAATCTACAGGTCTCCCAACTGTAATGTGTATGAAAAAAGAAGAACATTATGTGCTATCCGAAAATCATTACGCGAAATGAAATTTTGCCGCAGATTATTGTAATTTTTTTACATTACGTGATTGCTGCGTAATCACGCGTTTTAACATCTCCGCAACTTATAATTAGTTAACGACAATTTACGACGCTTGGCGATGTACTTGCGAATGCAAATGAATCGAGTAATGGCACGACGTGACTTATTCAGGAGCAAGTCGAAGCGAACGTACATCTCCATATGAGATATATAGTTAAAGTTCGTTTTAATTAATTTCAGCTTCATGAATGAACGGTTTGCTTTGCGTTTCACTGAAATAAACACGATCTATCACGAGTCTGGGGAAGATATAATTATTATCACATCGTCAATGTAAATGTAAAGGGCACGAAATCACGGAATAGCATTTCCTATACACGAGAGGCTCTTGCCCGTTCAATTATTGTGAGAATTTGTTTCATCATTGCAATATACATATCAGAGTTATAATTATATTTCGTGAAAGTCAATGTTTTTTTGTCTCTTTCTTTCTACAGCTAATTAATATTAATTAGTGCTTATATAGTGCTTCATCTTCAATATTCTCTGTAACATTTTAATTAAAATCTTCATTTTTAATGTATGTCTCAAAGGGTTATAAAGATACAACTATTTAATCTCCATTTGATTGGTCGTCAGCTTTAATATATCAATTTCTGATTTACCCTTCTTTTCACTGTGACCTTTCCCTCTGTTCGTCACTTTATTCTTTTTTTCATCTGTACATACGTATTTAAAAGAGTATGTTGTAAAGGCAAATATATGATTTTACGTAAATCTGTAATAAAAAAAATGGATTTGACTATTTCCTCGTTTTTCGTATTGATTAAATATATTTTTTGATTTTTAATATTCTTTTTATAAAAAACTAAAAACTTGTCAGAAATATTTGGAATTTTTATCGAATATTTATCCAATTAGATATATGTACTAAACTAATTTTAGTGATCATGTCTAAAATGGCAATTATCATACTACTGAATCCAATCTCTTAATGCTAAGATTAAGCACATAGAACTTACTAATAAATTAAGATTTATTAATGAGACCAAAATGCTGTAATAGATCCTAAATACAATTCTCCAAATAATATTACAGTATCACTGTAATTTTTCATATATTGATATTCACGAAGACCTTAGCTCTTATAAAAGGATTAGAAAGAGATATATTTTTTATCTTTTTCTCTTTATCCATAATTATTGAATAAATCAAATCCAATAAATAATTACAAATAACAATAATTCCATTATAATTGAAAATTGCCCGTCCAAATTCTTTTTCGTTTGGACTTTTTATTTATTTCCCTCCAAAAAAGTATTTATATTCCTTTTTACATACGTCATGTATGTCCAGGCACGTAAACTAGCTTGATCCCTTTTTTGTGTCAGCTACGGTGCTCTGTCTGCCATTGCTCGACGAGATGACGAGTCGTGTTCTGATCGAATTGAACGTCGCGTGGCAAACGCACATCCAGAATTCCGTTATCCTGATGGTCCACACGGAGGATATCGATCTCTTTCTACCGAGAGATGACTCGTCGCCTACGTCGCTCTCCACTGATCCATCAACTCTGGTCCACTCAGCGATTACTCAGTCTTCCAATTTTTCTACCTCGAATGTAACTCGCGCTGGCCCGTATGTGACCCCGGAGAGAGACGAGAGAACACAGAGAGAGCATACCTCACGAAGATTTGCCCCACCAAGGAATCTTAGCAGCACCACGATAGAAAATCTACTTGTGGTTACGCCGCTTGATCAGAGGTAATCAATCATTAACGACGGGAATATTTTATTAATTTGAGTAGTTGCGAGTTTAGGATATTCTGAAGCCGAGGAATACAGCTTCTTCACGGAATATAAAATTAAATTCTTCAAAATATTAACTGACACAAAGTATATAAATTACTTTGTTATGTACATATAGTTTTACTCATAAATAATAAAATGTTATATAAATAATAAAAATCAATTTTAATTATTCCCTATTGATTAATTTTGAAGACAATACAAAAAGTCTTATAATATTCATAGCTTTCCTTATTGGATTCAAATTTGTTTTCATTGCATTATCCCGTACTAAAAAGTATATCGTGATGAATAAAATTCTCTCTGCATTATGAATATATACTTTTTTAGAAACTCACGAAATGGATCAACAAGTTAAGACTCAAATCTTAATTATTATTAATAATAGCAATTAAGTCATCCGCAAATGTCGTAGTTGAGCAAGAGTATAGTAACGGATCATGAATAATTCTGCAGTCATGTTGGCAAATTAATTAACGTCCTTATTAAAATTATGTAATTAATCACTTGTTCTTCAGAACACTTGTAGCTTATTTTCTTAACAAGAAAGGATATAAGTACTAATACTAGAAAAGATTTATAATGGCAAAAATTCCATGTTGCCTGGAAAACCCTTCCAAGATGAAGTTTTATAAATCCTTGGAATATACGCAAAAAATATTAACACACCGTAATGCAAGCAACAGCTTTTATCTTTTTAGAGGTACTTATGTATATACTCATAATAATTAAAAATGTAATTTGGTCAAAAACATCATATGAAATATAGGATGTATACTATTTTACTATGTTACAGTAAATCAATGTTAACATATTAAAAAAATATGATTGCAAAATATGATGAAACAACTGAAATATTTACTAAAATACTCAAACATTATTCGTTTCCTTTTAGTTTAAAAATATTTACAATTTATTTAAAGTGCGTCATATTTTTACATACGATTAGAGTTGCACTAATTGTTTAACACAAACTTAATAGACAGAACTCGAGTGGAATATATATATAGATTGTCTAGAAATCAGCTGAGGAGTCGACCTTAATTGAAAGATCTCCCTTATCGGATCGAGGCATTAAGACCGTAATTACGAAATTCCTTCCGAACATGACGATCCTGAATTATAATACAAATCGCGTCTGTCGAATAATCGAGCCGAGTTAATTGTAGGCGTCGATCCGTGTAATTCGCTCCATGATTAACTTATGGGAACAGCCTACGGTGTCCTGGGCGCGGCAGAGCGTCGCGACGCCATGTCGCCTTCTCAAGAGACACTTTCTCTCGGTTTCTTATGCAGGTACGACGTGAAGAAGGTCCTCAATGGCACGCAAGATTACGCGACGCTGGCGTTGTTCGATCGACTGAACGAATCACTGACCGTGTTAACACGTGATAACAGCAGTCTTGACAGCCACAACAACAAGATGTACACGTATGCTCTGATGAATTGGCACGACGCCGGTTGGGAGCCAATCCTTGCGGTAGTCGAACGGCATCAGCAATTGCTGGTCCAGCAGCTGACGCCAAGCACGGTAGCATTTCTCAACATCGAGGCGCCCGATTTGCCGTCTTGCGATGTCGACAGCGATTGTCCGAGTAAGTTCGCAGGAAATGCAATAATAAACGCATTCGCGTCTGTCTCTTTATGTGACAATTTTATCGTATAATTAATATGACACCGAGAACAATATTTCAAACGGAAAATCGCGATGTAAACCAATCTCTCTGTGGATGATGTACAATTAATAATGCAATGTACTTATATGTCATGGAAGCGACATTAAAGGAAAGAAAATATTTATTGAGTTTTTTTTATTTATAATGCACGATGCTGGTGCAACTGACTTGCGATACGATCGGGGAAGGTACTGTCAAAAATAGGACGGGATAATTGCGGTATAGGGACAAGCTAAGGAAGGGTCCTCCCTTTGTACCTTTCTGATCGGGATCGATAGATAGCTCCCTCGATTCCGAAAATATCGCCCGATAACCCCTAATGAAGTAATGCTGTGCATTAATTATTTAACAGATGGCTTGGCCGACATGTCTTCTTTCCGTACCACACATATCGTAGCTATTATTCTGGGGTCGCTGCTGTTCACCTTTGTCGCCATCGCCGTCGCGATTATAATCCGGTGAGCGATCACTTTATCACGTTATACATCACATCATTTACAGCCCGCAGCCAAACCGTAGAAAATGCGTCAACGCTCCCATTGCCTCTAATCACCAGAAATACTTCTTTACTTCTGATGCGTAAATGTATAATTTTAGAATTAATGGCAGTTTTTCAAGGGTGAGTTTTGATTTAAATTGATTAACGTTTTTGTAATTTTTATTGAATAATTAGAAAATAGACAAGTTACGATAAATTTTCTCGCTTTATTAAATTTTATCTTCAACTTTACTAAAATACTTTAATATTAAAGTATTTTAATAAATGTAAGCAAAAGATATATTACTAAATATATTAATTGTAAGATAATTGTTTAAATCTATATTGTTTAATACAGATTTAAATTATCTATCGCTACAGAATTTTAATATACAAAATAGGAAGCATTCAATAAAAATATTCCTGAAATGTTCAATGATTTTCCAAACATTTATATACATACATACTTCATAAAACTCTTAGATCCTTGTAATTCTTAAGATTTAATACTGGATACGTTACAAATTTATTCTAGGAAGCGACTGCTTAAGAAAAGAATGTCCAAAGGTCCGTACAAAATCATTCTAACGACGTCGGACTTCGTTTTTCCTCAAGTGCCTCCAGTAGATTCCAGAACGGTGAGTGGAATTTTATTCACGACATGACAGGAGCTTTTAATCCTTTCCTTTCAGTGCCGCCAAAAGGATTAAAGAATCCTCGCGTAGAGTTACTGAAGTTATTAATGAAGTTCCTTAGTTGCTTCTTTTATCAATGTCTTTGATCAATGTCTTCCTAGGTGAAATATTCCGTAAATGGCGTGAAAGATATTAATATCTGTTAAACTTATCGATAAGTTTACGTTGTTATAAAAATTCTGTAGTGTTTACCTGTTATATTCTGTGGTGTTTATTTATTATACGTCTAAACAAAATCATAATCTGATGTCCTACATATATGATGAAAACAATTTTTCACTGTCGTTGAAATTGTAAAGTCGTGTTAGCACTGCGGACTAACTTTACTTTGCGGGAGAAATTCTTCTTAATATGACGCAACGCGTTCCATACGAGAAGGCTTGCTACGGTCTTGATAGGATATATATTTTACCCGAGAGAATGGTCGCTATATGAGCTCCTAAATTATTTGTCTCACGTAGTAGAAATAGCTGATAAAAATGCTAAATGTCACACCGTGATATCAGTTCACACGACTTAATTGAATCGCTGAGCGGACTTTAAGCACCTTTGTACACTAGCATTAAACGTTATGAATACTACTCGTAATCTTCACTTTAAAAAGTGATGTAAAAGTTTTTTTATGATTTGGATTCTATTCAACGACTGCATGCTTGATATAAAAGAATGATGTAAATTTCATATTTCTAGTAATTTTTCCTCAAAGAAAGAAATTTATATATTCACAAATTATTATAAAGAAATATATTATACATAAAAGAGATATCTGTAAAGCATAAAACAAAAACGATAAATTTTACACAGCATTCCGCATAGCTTATTTAAGCATGTAAAGCATTGTATTACCTAGCTTCGATTTCTCGTTTCCATACTTAGCTTTTTTTGTGTCAAGGACTAGGTGGAGTTGAAATTTCGGTAAACATTTTCTGTAACTCCAATCTATTATCTTGTATCTTACGTTCAAGTGACTTCCACGATAAGACACACTTTATCGCACACGACTCGTGCGTGTTCTCAGGTAGACGAAGGCATCGAGGCGATGCTATGCTGCTGGCTGCAGCAGTTGCAGGAGTTTGGCGGGCCGGAAGTCGAGAAACCGGATCTGCTCCAGCTCGGAAGCGTGAACTCGCTGAGGCCATACCTGCAGGCTAGCGGCGGGAACATACCAAGACATACCTTCTTCAAGGATCCTCGTGCTAGATATAACGTGAGTATGAAACACGATGTGCTACCATTTAACAACCACGCCGAATACTCTTCGCGCCCATCTCGTCTGCAAATTCGAAAGCTACGTCTTCGATCCTCTTTACCTCGATCTTATCTGGGCTACAGATTTTAATCTCTGTTGAACGAGTTTCCGTATTGATCCAGTTAGGATCTACTAATATAATTTACAAGGAACGCGATGATAGACACGTGGAAATAATTCACCAATATTTTCTAGTGTCCAATTTTATACCGTTCCTATGTGTGTATAAAAAGAGACTAGAGCGAGAATCAGTGCGGGGAAAAAGAAGACTTGGGACGTCCCATATATCTGCTTTCAAGGCATTATCGGTATTCTACATTGTATACCTTTACCCTTGCAAACAATTTCACTCTTGATCACTTCCGAGAATTTTCTGCTTGACATGATACACGGTATTATCCGACAGCACTAAGAATATATATTCCGAGACACATATCGATATTCATTTCCACGCGTCGTAGACGTCAGTCATACGGTGACGCTGATTAATGCCGTAAGTTTTGGAATATGATCGGAGCGATAAGAACCTTTTGCACCTAATGAAGATTGATAAGACAGTATTAAAACACGTTGCTAACAGCTGCGAGCTAATCTTCGATCTAGTTCAATGTCAAACTCTTTTTCTCTGGGTGATATAAGTCAATACGTTACAAGATTCGATGGATATAACGTTATATATATTAATGCTCAAGTTAATGATCCATTTTGATTTCTGGTAGGGTGACTTGGTTCAATTGAAGGAGCTGCCCTTTCAAGGTACGTTCGAACTGAAGAGCAAGGCCATGGACGTGCTGGTCACGGTAAAGGCGCACATCCTTTTATTCATTCCTCTGAGTTAGATTCGATCAAGTTTCTCTCCACTTCCACGTTTCTACTTTTGAGCAGATCCACGGGCTGCGACATGAGAACCTCAATCCTCTGATTGGATGCCTTAACGAACCCACGAGACCTTGTCTAGTATCGGAGTACTGCTCGAGGGGCTCTCTGGAGGACGTACTCGTCCAGGATGAGATTAAACTCGACTGGTCCTTCAGATTATCCTTACTTACCGATCTTGTACGGGTAAGTACAATCTGGAACATGATACGTTAAATATAAGTATCGCCAAGAAGATTCCGAGAAACCAGAAAGATTAGAAGAGATAGAAAAATTTTGTGGGATGCATTTATATGTGTATTGTTTTTTTGCCATTTTATTATTAATTAATATAATAAGAATAATATAAAAATTAAAATAGAACATTGAATGTTTAACATGTGTACAATTGGAAAAATATTAAAATTATTATATAAAATGATCAAAGATTTAAAATTTTTATTTCGATGATAAATCTGTTAATAATTTCAAATTTCGAACTCGATATTGATTCAGTATATACTTCGAAACTATGATAATTTTGGATGGCTTGTTTGCTTCAGGGTATGAAATATCTTCATAGCACTCCAATACGCGTCCACGGCTATCTCACGTCGCGAAATTGTGTGATCGATGCGAGATGGGTCTTAAAAGTTACCGATTACGGTCTGCCTGCATTTTATGAAGCTCAGAATATAGTACCGCCAGTGAAAACAGCTCGAGGTATGCTTGTTCTGCTTCAACTTCTGTTTTAATTCATTATACCTTCTTTAGCGTACATTTAATGTGATGTAGTGATTTTTCGTAACATGGAAATTTTTAATTAAAACTTGGATAAACAAGAAAGACTGTAATATTTCTTACAATTCCTTAAGAATATCATATTACTATAAATTTATCTTTAGATTTTCTTTTTGAATTGAATGAAGAGTATATTTTGCACTCATCAAGGTGCTATTATTTAAGTGTTAGCGCGTTGTTTAGAATTTTGAGATACTATTTAAGATACTTAAGTTATAAAGTTTCACTAATTAAAAGTTAAACTGCATGCTTTACTAATTGAAGATATTCAGCCGAGAGTCAGGGTTTCGTATTACTTTAGAAGATAGGATTATAGCAGGAGAGTGAAAATAGAATTAGAATAAAATTAACATAAGCGGGTCGCTATTAATTTTGTTAATGATCATCGGCTTACTGTTGGATAGATCTATTATGGACTGCGCCGGAATTGCTTAGGCATCCGAATTTACAGAAAAAGGGAACTCAGCCTGGAGATGTTTACAGTTTCGGAATTATCATGCAAGAAGTCGTTGTTCGCGGAGAACCATTTTGTATGCTCGCCCTATCTCCAGAAGGTAATGTGTGTGCAATTTGTAAATAGATGGTCACAGCACCACACGTATAGTTATTTAAAATAAAAGCTAATTCTAGAAAAGGAAACTGAAAAGTCCAGAAAACATAAAATTCATTTACATTCCTTTACCTCTAAAACTTAGAGATTACGTTAGATATGTCTTTATCTCACTCTTAAAGATTGAAAATTGGTCCACTCTTTTTCTAAAACTGGCTTAATCTTCATTCTAGAATGAGATTTCACTCCAAAGAATTTAGAGAATAAATTTAATTTAATTCTATACATGTAATTAAAAAATATAAAAACAAAATTTTGTTCTTTGTGTTGTGAGCATTTACTGTGCTTAAAGATTAACAAATTTTTGATGATACATGAAGATCCATTTTTTCTATTATTCCAGAAATAATAAACTTGAAATAATAAAATAGATCGAAAAATATGCTTATATCTTTCCATCAATTATTTTTAATCGTAATAAATTATTGATTTTGAAAGGTCAGAATTAATGTAAATTATACTTAATATGATAATTACTCCGCAAACGTCTCATATTACATTTATGCAAACTATATTTATCGAAAAAATAGAGTTGTGATAAATGAATGAGAAATGAGTTAAGAATAAGCTAATTCTTGGCACGTATCGTTTTCCGATAAAATGATTAACGGCAAACACATAATTAGAACTCAGATTTTATAATTTATTATAAATTAAATCTGTACTTGCTAATTTATCGATATTGATTATTCAAAAATTATTTCACAAACTCCTCGAAATTTTGCAACCGTGCAGTCGATTATCAGTGATTTGAAATTCTATAGTCATTTGAAGTTTTACAGTCATTACGTTTGAGGATTGAAATGTTAGGCATTTCATCTGTCTCGCAGATATAATCGAGAAAGTAATGAAACCACCACCCCTGATAAGACCATCGGTCAGCAAAGGCGCTGCGCCACCAGAAGCCATAAACATTATGCGACAGTGCTGGGCGGAAACCGCTGAAATGAGGCCCGATTTTGATGACGTACATGATCTCTTCAAGAAGCTAAATCATGGGAGGTAAAATCGGTTTCCAACCATATTTCCTCGAGGCACTGTGCCTTGTACCTTTAGAACGGAAGATTGGATATAATTTTGGCTAAAAGTCAAGAACTGCGATGTCAAAATCCATTTCTTGCAGATCTGATCACGATTCAATAATACTGAATTTTAATTTCAATTATAAAGATTTGATTTTTAATAATATTAGTTACAAATTTATACTTGCGTCAATAAACTAACTAATAAGTAACTAAATAATTTATTTATTATATTTATAAAAAAGATATATGTATTTAGAAAAAGAATTTTTATCAATTTCAAAGAAATATCTATTTTTTAATTGTTGATGTCATGTAACTTAATAAAATAAGTATGTTTTGACAGTAATTGAAAAGATGTTGCTATTAGACATCGCGTTTTATTTTCAGAAAGGTAAACTTCGTGGACACGATGTTTCAAATGCTCGAGAAGTACTCGAATAATCTGGAAGAACTTATTCGTGAGCGTACGGAACAACTTGACATGGAGAAAAAAAAGACTGAGCAATTATTGAATAGAATGTTACCTAGGTAAACAACGGAAATATTTAAAATTTTATTATTTCATGAAAATAATGTTGTCAGAATTGGCTGGATACACTTATTATTGATATCAAATTTTAATAATTAATTTCTCAATTGCTTAAGAATTAGAACTGAAAATTGATATTTTTAAAAAATTGATGATTCGTTCAAAAATTTTTTTAAATTGACAAATTGATTTAATTTTAATATTTTTGGGAAAATTAGCGTATTTGGCTCGATATTTCTAGTTCGGTCGCCGAAAAACTGAAGCTCGGCATGCCCGTTGACCCTGAAGAATTTCGCGAAGTCACCATTTATTTCTCGGACATCGTCGGCTTCACGACGATATCTGCGCGTTCGACGCCTTTTCAAGTGGTTGATCTTCTCAATGATTTGTATACTTGCTTCGACGACACGATTAATGCGTATACGGTTTACAAGGTAATCGTAATGAAAGAACTGTAGCCATATTGTTTTTCGACAAGTTTATAAATAATTTTTTAATATAAAGATAAAATAACTTAATTATATATGCAAGAGAATACGTTGCACAATGTAAAATAATAAAATATTAAGCATAATTTTATTAAGAAAAAATATGTTTTAAATATGTTTTAAAAATGTACTTGGATGTTGCTTTTCCAAAATTTCAAATTTTTTTGAAGTTAAAAAATTTGTTTTGTCAGAAGATTGTTGGATTCCGATATTACAGAATGCATATTCGATTAGGTGGAAACTATTGGGGATGCCTACATGGTTGTAGGCGGTTGCCCAGTAAGAATACCCGATCATGCAACTCAAATAGCAACTATGGCGCTCGATCTGTTACATCAGAGTGGAAAGTTCAAGTTAAAACACCTTCCGGACACTCCGCTTAGGTTACGCATTGGTCTTCATACGGGTTAGATAATTAAATAATTTCTATTAGATAATTAAATATTTTCTTAATTTAATAATCATTTCGTAATTGTTTCATAATTGTTAAAAGTAGAATAAATCAGAAGATAGAATTTCTATTTTAGATACTTTTATTTTATTTCCATCTCTTCTTTGGCTGTTAAAAAGCTAATACAATTCATTATAATCACAATTAAGGTCTTATTGTTTTAATTGACTAATTAATATTTAATCAATTAACTCTTAATTAAATTTAATTTTGACAATTTTGCGATGGAAACAAGTTTTGTTATATAAATGATCGATTGATTTTTCTTGCTTGTAGATTTATGTCGTCTCTAAACATTACGCTGATCAAATCAGTGCTGAAATAGCAAATCTGAATGATATCCATTTTTTTATCAGCATTTCTTTTATCGCGAAAACGTTTTTATGTTTTCTCGGTTGAAATATTAAAGAAAGAAATTTACTTTTCCTCCTCGTTAGGTCCGTGCTGTGCCGGCGTAGTAGGTTTAACAATGCCGCGTTATTGCTTGTTCGGTGACACCGTGAATACCGCCTCGAGGATGGAATCGACTGGGGCGCCTTGGCGTATCCATCTGAGCCAGGCAACAAGGGATCGATTGACGCAGGTTGGTGGATACCACATCGAATACCGCGGGCCCACCGATGTCAAGGGTAAAGGCAAGATGCCGACCTACTGGCTTCTCGGCAAGCAGGGTTTCGACAAGGAGCTCCCCAAGCCGCCACCTCTTAGGTAAGCCATTCCATCGGAGAAACATTTTCCGAATTCCCACCCTACCAGCATGTCCTATCCCACTACACGTCTCAAGTTCTTACAAGCCTGAGTCATCTAAAAGTACTCAGGACGTGATTTTAACGTTTTACGTGCATCCGGCAAGCCTTATTAAGTTCAGTTTATTGTCAAGTCTTTTCTCTTTGTGAGTGTTATCTCTTTCTTTTTATCACACTCGGAATGTAATGTGACAAGGGTAGTTCCAAATAAGTTCCCGGATACTTTTAGCTTATAAAGTTTTAGCGTATCGCGCTAGCTATTGTAAAAAAAAGGGTCGAATTTAATCAACAAAGTTAGCGCGTATTCCTTTGATTAAGTGTCAGAGAACACCGAGAAACGCGCTCGAGAGTTTTTAATTATGTAACAATGAGTTGCGCGTGGTAGGCGGCTCATACTTCGTGTGCGTTAAGATCCTCCCAACAACCGCGCGACTTTTACCTCATATTTTACTACTTATAATTGTTTGACGTACTCGCGAAAGTGATATAACAACAAAGTTTTCTCTCCCGTATATTACTATTCTTTTATAACACCCGGAGGCAAGAAGTGACCTACTCGGTAATGTGCGTATAAGCATATAAGGTAGAAAAGCCTGATATTCTGAAAATTAACGTTTATATTATGCAGAGTGTTTCCGATCTAATGTGTAACCTTTCAACCACGAATCTAAGAAAAATAACTCACAAAATTCGAGGAAATTTTGTGTTACGCACAATATAAAGAAAATTAAATAATTTATTCCTATTGTATAGTTTATATAAGTGATAAAAAAAAAAGAAGTTTTATCTGTAATTAATTTCGAATGGACGCGGAAATTTAATTGTTCTCCGGGAAAAAATGTTTTGCATATAATTACATAAAGTTATATAAAATTATATATAATCTTATATATAATCTTATATAATTGTATATAAATTGACATATTTTATATATAAATTGTATCTAATTATATAAGATTATATAGAATTTTATATATTACAATTATGTGTAAAGTAATGTAATGTTTTTTCCCAGGTCGATTTAAAAATTAAATATAACTGAAATGCATATTTATGTAGCAAAATACTATTTAAAATGCATCATAAATTAAATTAATTAAATTTCGTTATTAGTTATTTAATAATGCTTAATAATAATTTCAATGCGTTAACAAATTTGATTAAAAAAAGTTCAGTTTATTTTCATTACCTCTCTTTGCGTATTTTCCATACTATTTTATTTGCATCATTTCATTTCCAGATATTTAATGCTTTTATCCGTTGTTATTCTGCTGCCACACTTAGGGAGAACCTACATGGGTGAGTAGACTTTCACATAAATTTCAACATCCAGATCCATCATATTATTGCTTCACATTAGATAAATTTTTTTTTATGATAGACACTAATGTAACGAAAGTTTTGATATTAATTTCAATATCATCTACCTAATATCTTCCACTATAATCATTTATTAAATTTTTTGTCACCTTAAAAAATTCGAAATTTTTATAAAACAATTCAACAGAAACTTTTATGAGTCAGTTAACAAGCAACGTAAACTAAAATGAGAATGTAAAAACACAGCGCATGAATAAACATACACCAGAGACCATCACCATCAAAACGACATTTACGTCAAAATGTCAATTACTGTAAAAGTTGCTTCCCTTTTACTAGAAGTTTAATCTTTCGTCACCTAAAGTTAAGTCTGTCCTCCCCGTGATGTAATCATATCGTTCCTCGGATGTAGGTATAATCACTTTTATAACTTTCCCATTTCTGTCAGCTCTCCACGAGCGATACCGGCATTAAAACGGCGCTACGTTCATGAATAAACACTCATACGAAACATCTGGGTCCAGCGTCAAAATGCCGTTTGCATCGAAATATCAATTTACGCGAAAAATTCTCAACATCCTACATTCCAGCATATGAACCGTTCGGCGGAAAATAGCAATATACAGAAGTAACATAAACTTTCGATGTATACCAATTTTCATGCACTAGCACTTCGGGATGACATGAAATTTGAGTTCTTTTCTCTTATACAGAACCATAAAAACTATGATAAAAGTTACACTTTAAATTTTCACAAACATATCTTCTACCTTTTTTCTTCGTTTTTCAAAATATAAGAAATGGCTTAATCAGTCATGGCTAATCCGTCCAGCGGTTCATACATTTCCCTCTGAATTTCCTGACTTTTCTGAAGGCTCGACGAAAATCTCATGCTGGACAGCCACCAGAACGGAATTGGTACCTTGGCGTGCCCTCAGCTACCGGTAATCCCATCACAGGACGAGACACACGAAGAACCGATGAGCCCTGATGAGGTCAAACCCGACCGCCAGGAATCCGTCAGCAGCGGAGTCACTACTAGCAGTAGTCGAGCCGCGTCTTTCGAGGAGGCCAGCACTAGGAAGGTCGCCGTATCCGTACACAACGAACGCACGTTGCTGCCGAGTTATTCCTTGAAGTCTACCAACGACTTCATCGAAGTGTTACAGGGTAAACAGGATACAGTGACGAGGACGAGCGAGGTAATTCACAGCGGCATGACCAAGAGCACGTCCAGTGACAATCAGGCTTCCCTCGGGGTGTCACCTTCAGTGTCTGGTGCTGATCCGCCAGCGGCACTCCTCGGTGCCTCTACCAGCTCACTTACGTCGATTGCCAGCTCGGCGGCGTATCGACAGCCACTGGCGGCGAGACATCGCCGCTTCACTCCCGGATGCATCGATGAGAACGATCTCAGTACACCGTACAATCATTACAGATGTCTATCGCCCAACGAGTATCACAGTACGTATTAAGAAATTTAAGAATCCTTCATCAATTCCTTATTTCTCGAAGTCTAAAAATTAATTATCTCTTCGAAATTAAACTAAATGATTGATTAATAAATATTATCTTTTAAATTTGAGAATTTTTGATTGTAAGGTGAAAATCTCAAAACGTATAAAGGAAAGATATTTCAAGATATCTCACCTCAATTTTGGTGATTGAATTATTTATATTGTATATAAATGAGATTTTATAAATGTGTATATACAGGATGTTCAGTGTAACGATCCGCACGATTTCTCAAATACTTCCGACAGTTAAAAAAAAAGTTAAAAGGTGAATATTCATCTGTTTTATACAGGCTGCGATAAAAGAATAAAACGAATTTTTTCCATAATATTGTAGGGGTCTTTAAGACAAATCACTACCGAAATGTCATTTTTATTGATTTTATTGATACTTAAATATCAAATTTGTAACATTATCTGTAACAATAGTACTTACAACCTTTGACTAAAATATAGAACATATATATTGTACATACATGCATACATGTACTTATTTAATAAAATGTGCAATAAAATCAATAAAATATCAATAAAAGTGACATTTTGATAGTGATTTGAATTCGTCTTGAAGACTCCTACAATATTATAAAAAAAAATTAGGTGCTACTTGAAAAATTTGACTTTGATTTTTTTATGGAAAAAACAAATTTTTTTTTATTTTTTTATCGCATATGTTGTAGTCTATATAAAACAGATGAATACTCATCCTTCTTTTTTTTAACTGTCGGAAGTGTTTGAAAAATCGTGCGGACCGTTACGCTGAACACCCTCTGTGTGTGTGTGTGTGTGTGTGTGTGTAAAGTTTTCCTGCATTTAGATTATTACGTTTTATTGGAAAAATATTGAATTATTCAAATATTTCTAATAACACAAAAGTATATGGGACGTGCAATTGACGTTATTGATCTTGCGTTTCTAACAGATAACATTACTTTTTCTGATTTCAGCGAAGGGCTCCGGATGCCGAATGCTCAAGAGGCAATTCAGCTTGGACCGTCCGGATGAACCGGTGTCCATAATCCCGGAGCAGCTCCCACCTAGGTCAACTCCTCGTCTCTACAAGCAAAATAGCGCGGGCGCGGCCAACGACTTGGAGAGAATCGAGGAAGTGCCACCAGCCACTCCTAAGCCCCTCCTTCAAAATTACCGTCACGCTGCTTCCGTATCCCTTTCCGTCGAGTCCCTATCATTACGTTAAAATCCCTGTTGAGAAAAGTTTTACGAGCAGAAAATCGAACATGATACGACGTTCATCGCGATACGAGCGTAACACATTTGGAGCAGCGAACGATTCATTTGGAGACAAAAGAATCGCTTTTACGATATAATTGATAAAAAGCCGTATAAACGAAAGATTGAAATACGTTTTTATAATCGTAGATCTCTACTTTTAGAGAAAAACAAGAGATCTCGGTTAAACTGAGATTAGAAGTTAGTCAATGTTGACGATACACAACTTTTGACGATCACAGAGATAGAAATGTTGGCTCGGAAACTTGATCGCAATAATTTGTCTTTGAAGATCGGTATCTTTCTGCGCGAATGTGTAAAAGAATGCGATTACTATGACTTGTTGCTGCTCCGTATTTTTATCTATATGTACATTGTATTGATGTCTGATAATATACCCGCAGGCAGGGGATCGAACGAACGCAATTCGTGATAAAGATTTAATGATTTAAGCGTGTGTTGTTTACAAATAATCGTTGGTGCAAAGAAAAGCTAGGACTTATGATCAATCTGCTCTTTTCTCCAACGTGTCTGTACATACTTATCAATCTTACATGCTTCAACGATAATGATAACATGTTTCATCGATAACTTCCGCTCAATGACGCTGTCATGCATCTACGATCCTTGACGCTGAATTATTAGCAGCCCAGATTGCACAGATATTTAACGGATCCTCTTAGACATCTATCTTAAACTTTTATCGAACGTTTAAATGATACATACAAGTATTCAGAATTCTGAATATTTTGGATATCCAAGAGGTTCCATTAAATTTTTATGTCTAAATTTGAACTAGATATAACTTGATTCCTTATTAGAACGTCGAAATCTTAAACAAGTAATGTACTTCTCGTGATTTCAGGTTTTTCACATTACTGCGTAAGAGTAATCTTTTTTACCTTGCAAAAATTAAAAATTGTCCTCCCTTCCACAGTCGTCAACGAGCGTATACTCTCGCTAGAAGTACCCCTAAAAGTCGGGGAGACACTATTAGCGCTATTTGTGTCATTCTATCCTTGTTGTACGTCTAATAAACAACAAAGATAGAATGACAGAACTAGCGCTAATAGCGTTTCCCCGAACGCACCATAAAACGTCTCCTTCAAGCGAAAATTTAAAGTCGATTTTACTGAGTGGAATTTTAATGTTAGAAAATTATTCCACGTATCTTGTGGAAGACATAAGAAAGTTCCAATTTAAATAAACTTAAACTGGATCTTAGGCTAATAAAGGCAAGACAGATAGCAAAATAATACAAAAGGAAAAATATTAATTAATTAGTCGTTTATAATTTTTTGCTAAATATATCTTGATATAAAAATTATTCTTTAAGAAAGGACCTTCTTCAAAAACATTGAATATATTGCTCTCGTACACACACATATACATTATATATAAAGTCTTTATGTAATAATTATATTTCGATCGAAACTTACGATGGGCTATGATGTCAATCGAGAAAGAAAGTTACATAGGAAAGTTACGTAGGAAGTAATTAACTATCATCTCTCAATTATAGCAACAGAGAAGTACTTCGTCGATCAGCAGGTACGTAAATATAAATGTAATTAATATTGTTGTTATTTCCGGCCTAATAATTTCATGATAAAGTCTTCGATGTAGGTTTTCACGGTCTTCGGTGTGGATTTTATAATAACTAATGGATTAACGAGAAGCATTATTCTCTTAAAGCGTGAGTGTTTGCAAAAAATGAATAATTCAATCATGAATAAATAAAAACTTTATCTATATTTGAATAAAAATTTTACATGCAAGCAGATAAGCATAATTATATTTTCACAATGAAACTCATATTTTTTTCTAATGTCTTATTTTATAAATCCAACATTTAAAAAGTTAAAATATTTTCGGATTTTTTAAATTATAAATTCTTTAAATAAATAGGATAAATTTTTTTCAAAAATTGATTAAGTACTATTTCTTTCTAGCAACTTTTTAACATTTATTATTAATTAGTTTAGTGATCAATTTTTAGATCAAATTCTAAATTAAATTTAAGTTAGCTTAAAATTTAATAAAAAGATATAGTTTATATTTGTAATTTAAAACTTACCATTTAAATAAGTTATGATTTGTATTAATGACATTAGTGTTTTGGGATAATCTATACATCTACACATCATTGTAAAATCACAACTTAGATAATTATAATATATTTCAATCTCTTGTGTTAAGGATTGTCTGGAGCCAATGCAATTACAAGAATTATGACAGAATGAAGTTATTCAACTAACTTTCTTGATTCATTGCTTTAGAAAATCTTGCGGTCGACGAACGAAAATCAATCTTGTGGCGAGTCACGAGTGACATAGAAACAAGATCGGTGACGAGAAGAACTTTCTTATACGTTCTCGCACCAAGTGAAATTACTATGCGGCACAGGTTCTCACTTTATGATCATAAACGTTAGTCATGTCAAGCACATGGATGACGGAATGCGACGTAAACATCTGGAGATCTTCCAGTGATCATAATATACGATACTTCGCTCGGCTTCTCGAACGACGTGCTGTGGTTAAGGGATGTACTTTATTGTCGAAATGGGAACTGTTCGATAAAGCTTCAAATTGTTTATTGATTTCTACACCCCTATTTGAATGTAACTTCTAAATTGTTTTGACCATATAGCGTCGTGCAAACAATTCGATCACAAAGTTCTTATAAAGGCGTAACATTGTTCTTTGTTTTTAATTTTCTAACTTGTGTCAAACAAACATTTGCATGAAACAAACATTTTTTATAATTATGTAAATATTAGAAAAAACTTATTCTTATTTCAACAAAAGCGTGATCTATCTTTTTCCAAGCAGAACAAGTTGTTATGATATCAAAATGATGTCAAAGTGACTCCAAAATGATTATTAAAATTTATTTTTCAATCATTTCCGATTCATTTTAATGTCATTTTGACATCATCGTGATTTGTTGTTCTGCTTGGGTTTAATACAAAAGACATTTATGTATTGAATTAAAATGTGCCAATAATACTTAAACTTTTTAACATTTGACAATACGTAATAAAGAGAAGAAAAAAATCATAATAAAGATATTATAATGAAATATCCAAAATGTATACCTACTTTTTAAATCTTCCTCAATGTATTATATAGTTGTTTTGTCACGGTCGATTTAACGTCATTTAAAGAATATAAATTGCGGTAATAAATTAAACAAAAATAGATTAACAAAATTAGGAAGCTTGACGACGATGAATACGATTTTCAGACACGAATGGCCGATAACAGAAAGGCACCCTTTTATCGCGAACGACAATCTCCATTGCGCTAATCTTTCGCTTTGGTATCATTTCTAACAATCACGCCAGAATCGGATTATTCCGCTGACTAGAGTTTCTCTAAAGCAGAAATGTAAAGCAAATTCATGTTTTACATGTACTCGAATTCTCTCATATATCTGCGTATAGACAGAATAACCGAAAAATGAATGTGACTAGCTACTTCAAAAACTAAAATCTCATATTTAAATATCGGAAAATATCCGGATAATACTGCTTATCCAGATAATAATACTCAAATATTTACAACTCTACCGTGAACATCATGTCGTCCATTAATTTTCGTCCGTATCTTAAAGCAGCTATCCTAATGTCGATGTCCATTTGCAAATCCGACATATTTACAGAATGTGTCTGATAATTATTTAAATAATTGTGTAAAAATGTAATTAGTACTTCACATCCACGCTCATCTTTACATACGTTTTCTAGTGTCAAGGTGTTCATATTTTTAGCTCGTCTGTTTTGTTAGGTTTAGCTTTGCTTCTAGTGATAATTGATTTCACTTTTCGACAAATAAAATTTGACTGCGCGAACATCGTGGTAATATCTTCCTAAATTCTTTAAACGATTTACAAGAGTATCACGATTCTGTATCTGCTTGCCTATCTCGAGATTTAACCTAATGTTATATCAGCGCCTCTTTACATGGCAGTTCCAATAATTCTATATCCATACCAATACAAATACGAAATACGTATACGATGTTGTTTACAACTTTTGACTGTATTCTCCATGTACAATAATAAATGTGCGAAAAAGGAGCGAAACAGACACATTGTGTACTCCTTACGAATATTATCGAAGCGAAATGATAAACCAGTTAGAATTTTATGAATCATTTTCCCGAATCAAAAGAGGATTCGTTGGACGATAAAGGATTCTACTTTCATCCGCGGTTTACGAGTCTCGAATCAAATACTCGTCGAGCCTGATTAGCTTCTCGACGAGTTTTCTTATTCATTCGGGATAGAATACTATCCGATCTTTTCTAAATCAGCTTCGACGCAGTCGGTGCTAATCTGGACGACAATCGTTAAAGGATATAATCGCATTTTTTAACGTCACCGTAACAATAATTATCCGATCACTTTCGATGGCTGTCCGTAGTTTGCGCGAGAGAAAGAACTTTTGACAGTTTCGCATAATGCTCTTACGAATAAAAAGATTGGGTTCATAAATATTCCATAGCTCGGAAACGTGCGCAAACCATGATTCGCGTACTCAACAGATATACGTACCTCGATGTAATTCGTGTAGGCACTTAGCCCACTAATGTTAAAAATATAAATATAAGTAGTTTGTACTTTGAAGCGATTCTCTTTCCATGCGACAGGCATCCTCGAATTCCATACAAACAGATTGTATACTTTTTTAAAATACTCGATTAATTCTTCGCCAATTTTTATTCCCTTTGCACTTCCACTCGATATTTAATATTTCCACCCAGAAATATTTTAACTTTTAACATTTTCTTCCAACTTATTTCCACTTTAAGAAGTTTATGATGTGCAATTTATAATAGTCAGAATACAAAACATAATAAGAAAATTAAATATAATATATTAATAATGGATGAATAAAAGGTTAAACGATCAATAAAAATTCTAATTAATTTTATTAAAATTTTTTATTATCAAAAAGCAGGTACTCTTACTATTTACTGTATCTTTTTCAGGAATTTTAACCCAATATATCGTTTAATTTTATTTATTCATATCATTATTATAAAAAAGATTAAAAATAATAAAATTGTTAAAATCAAATTAAATGAAATTGGGAAGTGCAAAGGGTTAATACTTTACATTTTTCAAAATGTCTGTCGGTTAATTTAAATCATAATGATCATTTGTTATCATTTGTGGCGTAGCAAATATGCACTTAATGCCCACTCACTAATAGTTACTACTAATAGTTACCACTAGATAATTAAATGACAACAAGTAACATTAGAACGCTCAATTTGTCTCTACACATTTTTTACAAATTAATTATAATTTATTAACAGCAAGCAAGATACTGAATTAATCTGTTCAATAAGACTAATAGAATCCTTTTCTAAATGATAAATGACATTAGAAAAATCTATAAACTGCAATCACATCACAAGTGGCTCAAATCGTCGGAGAACAAATTGTGCATTCTCATATTCTAATATTAATACGCACACTTAACAATATGGTTTATGTTTCTCTGTTGAGTACTTAAAATTGCAAAATATTCGCTACGCTACTGGCCATTGTTTTCACATCTGTATCTGACTGTGTGAATAGAAGAGAACTTAATTATGCACGTATGAATGTTACATGTTAAAAGATGTTATCGAAAGAATATCTAAATACATAGCGTAGCGATCGATGGAGATGGTTGGATATTTGTATATTTCAGATGCATCATGCGATTATATACTCGTTATTAATACTTCAATGTTACTCGGTAACATCTTCGGCAATAAAGATAATCATACGGCCGTAAAACTGTCTGTTATATCTCTTGCGTGTATATAGAGACCTTTTCCTTTAATAATTTATTATCGAACGATCATAGCCTTGTGCATTTTTTTAATTTACGAAACACAATTTAAAATGAAATTCTCATAAAATAAAGTAAAAATTAACGATAAAATTATATAATTAAATATTAATTATAATATGTATACATTGCGAAAAATGTTCTGATTACATCAATAAAAACATTCGACAAAAATTACATCTTAGTGAGATCGAACAGAATTCTTAGTATCATAATCAGAAATTCTTTTTATCGTTATCAAAATACTATTCTGGGATTATTTATTAGTTTAACAAAATATTTATTTGTGATTAAAGCGTTAGTAGTTAAATCACATTTTAAAATATAAAAATATTGTACCAGAAGAAAATTTTGAATTAAAAATAATGTTTTTTGCTGAATTTTTATCGTGTTTTTTTTTTGCAGAAATAGGAGGAGTACAAATTTTAATAATAACACTTGTAATACAATATTTACAGGCTGTAATTTATTTAATCTGTAACATCGGTAACAAAAATAACAATCTCTCTGATTACACTAGATACTCTTATTGTTATTCTTATATACTTAAACTTAGGTAACCTGACTGAGACTCAACATGATGCACCCGTAATTATTTTCCTAGAATTTCCTAGAATTTCCTAGAATTTCGAGGTATAACAAGGAGATCAGACTGGTACGCAGTTATACGCTGTAATTCAAATTGCATTCCAGATTTACCAGGAACTGTAAAGAAAAATTAAAGAAATGTTAAAGACTGTCTAAGAATAATCAAGAAATAATAATAGACTATCCAATAATTATCGTAATATTTAAATAATTTATTTAAACTGTTTTTAATATTTATTATGTTGTTTTTAATATTTGTTGAGTAAGTAGAAATAACTTTAGTGTTGAATTTTTCTAAATGTTAATATATATTGTATCTTTAAATAAAAATTTTATTTTCATTGTCACAAAGTATAAACTAAACTGTAATACAATAGAGATCATATTTTATATCGCACAATTATTAGAAAGGACAGAAGAGATTAACGACTGGTTTCTCTTACCCATAGGATGGGTCTGGTTGCGACCAGACTGGAGCAGCATACTCAGCATGCGGTTTATAAATAGGTTTTGGGACAATTCTCTCTATGTAAATGGGTTTCTCAACGAATTCCACGTACTTCTCTGGTGGCGAAAGGTAAACGTGATGCACTTCCGGTGCAGTATAGTAACCAGCCTTGTAACTGTGAAAATGAAATAAGAAATATTAAAAAGGCATTTATTGCATTACGCAGAAAAATAAAGTACATTAATTTGATATCGTGTTAACATTTTACATTTTATACGTCGGTACATCAAGAATTTTAGCATTAAAAAGAAAATAATAGGACTCTATTTCTCTTATGATCAAAATAATACAAATAGTAACTCTATATATTATTGAAATATATTGTATTATATATAATTCTAAAATATGTTATTGTAATATATATCTTGTTTTTTTTTGCAAAATTAATCTTTATTAATAATCAAGAACAATAAAATAAAAATAAAACAAAATGAGAAAGAATATAAATTATAAATTTGTTACCCCTTTGCGATTCCAAGACCGAAACCAAGAAGACCAGCGCCGAGCAGCTTCTTTTTCAAGAATAACGTTCTCTTTTCCCTGGTGTGTATCGCGCCACCATCGACCTGATCTTCGATAGCGACATTTCCGAGGTCCAGAGATTGTTGATTCTGTTGGACAATCTCTTCCGCTGTTGCTCTCAATACGAGGAAACAACAAACAGTGGCAATGATGGTAACAATAGTGTGATACATCTCTGTTAAAAAACAAATATTTTGTATCGATATCGTATTTACCATCAATTTCTCCAAATGATGTAACAACATTCGCAAAATACTAACAACTAACACTAATTTATAACAATAAACAAAATTTTTATTCTTAAATGATTAACACAATCGTACGTGCACGTATTCCAAGTGGCATATAACAAAAATTTAATTTTAATTTTACTTTACATTAATTTTAGTTTTAAAAGTAGACGGCATTTTAAATTAAATAATTTAATTTGAGATAAGTTCTAATCCGATTATAAATGAATTACACGCGTCTCTTCGGATGTAACACTGAGGTACGTTTATAACGATAATTTTATTAAAACATAAACTCGTTTCATTTGTATGAGCGCGTTACGTGTTATCTCTTGTTATCGAAATTAGAATTGCGATCGACAAGGAAGCGATAAGGAAAGCATGCAAAAAATTTCGCATACTTTCCCCAAGATCCTGTTTAGTTACTGGGGAACCGGTTTCGCTTACCTTGCGTCTTAGTACAACAATGCACAGTAAAGATCACGATGACGATACACCGTAAGGACAAGTCCGAATACTGTGACTGATCGAGGAATCGTTCGATTTTATACCGACTCGCCTACCTCGCTACTGTTTGCGGCCATTATAAGCGCAATTCTGAAGCTACCTCCCCTTCCATAGCATCCTGAATAGGCGGCTTAACATCGGCTTTAGGACGATTAACCGTATTGTGACACCCGGGAAGTATTATTCCATACATCACTATAGCGACAGCTCAATCCTATGCCATGTTGAGTGGAAGTTCCGTGGGAACTTTATAAATCTCTTTAGTTTGCTTTGCTTAAATAAGGAAAGAGATTGATCTGGCGTAATTAATTTGCTCCAAAATGATATCTCCACAATTAAAGCGTTATTTTAATCCTTTTCCATACTTTCATATTTTCTGACTTCATATTTTATCCAAAAAGAACAAATTTTTCATTGGGAAATAAAAAACGAGTTACGATATCTTTTGCTAGATATACGAAGTACACGGACTTCAATCAACTGTGTATGCTAAAAGATTAATTATATTATATAAATATATCTAAAATCATTACTTTTACATTGTAATATAAGAATTTTCTGGTTCCTGTCACGTTTCCATAATGCAACGACGCTTCTTTCCTAAAACACCATATTTGGCGCTCGCAATAGTTTACAATTGCAATTTCTCCAGAAAAACCTGTTCGAGGTTTTCTTCCGCTTTCGAGCTTAGGAAAAGTATCATGAAAGAATAATCTATTAGCGATCTAGATCTCTGGACTAGATGAGACTTTATATAGATAGAACTTGGCAGAGCCGCATAGAGAGACGAATTCGAGGAAGTGAAAGAAAGTGGAGAGGTAATAGGAACATGATGCGGACGTCTTCGATTTATCAACCCTATGACGTGACAAGCAGATAGTATACACTATTGTCGGCTGCAACAAGTAGAGCGATGAAGGAAAGAATTGAAAGACACAGAGAGAGAGAGAGAGAGAGAGAGAGAGAAAGGCGCGAAAGAGGAGACAAGGAGAAAGCGAGAGACTGCGCAACGAATTTTCCATTCTTCCTTTGTGGCGTGTACATCCCACGTGGTCCGTCTTTCAATGATACACGTGCTTCTGCCGCACGCAATCGCGCCTTGTTACGTGGCGATCTGATACAAATGCGTAATCATTGACACGCACGCGGCCACACACGCGCGTATAAGTACGCGAAATGCGATCGACGATGAACGAATGACAATGAACCCAATCCTTGCCCGTCGCCGATTATAATCTGACATTACGAACAATCCAAGCAGTGATCATTGATATACAGCTGGCGTATTTACGAGTAGATATTACAGCACTATAAGGATATCTTGTTGTCAGTAAAATTGACGTGAATATTCTTCTCGTAACAATGAAAACTTAATAAGGAAAAAGAGTTTGCGGAAGAAATATAGAAATAATGAGACCTCTCTTCTAGATTTTCACAATTAATTGTAATAATTAATTAATAAAATAATTACATGTACGTTTTAATAAATCAATTTTTACCTAATAGTTAATTGATTAATATTCATTTTTTTCTCTGGAAGTTACCGCGTTCTTCATGATTATCAATACATTTTATTCTTTAATAACAAATAAAAAATAAAACGGCTGTAAGAATAAACCTAAAAAATAAAATAAATATCGTCAATAAGAGCCAGCGAATATTGGTGCGTAGATAAATTCTATTATAACTACAGAACAATCAACTTTTACAATTCAATGGATTTACTTTGTGAATTGTAAAAGTTGATCCCCCAGTTGTGTAATAAAATTTAACTACATACCAATATCCGCGCTAGCTCTTATTCGTAGGTTTTACTATATTTTTTTTTATCTTTTGTTTTTTACTTCTTGCTCATCCCATTTTATAAATTAAATTATATTAATTTAACATTGTTTAATTATATTATGTTTATATTTGAAAATAAAAGCAAATTCTGAATTTTGAAAAAAAATTCTTCTCTCCACCACTGAATGAACATGAACTTAAACTGACTTAAATCCTAAGCCTAAATCTGACCGCTGGACAAGATGGGTGGAAGATGACACACGGCGCAATTCGATAATCGACTTAGAAAGTGTCCGACAGTAAGAGCGAGCTTTCGCAAGCAGACGTGAAACAGGCGCGAAATTTCACTGACTGAGTCGCAAAGGCCGCCGCGAGGTGTGGACGACGTATTTCCAATATTTTTTCAACGCCATGCTCATCCCCCCACTAAGGACGGCATGGCTCAATGCTATTCGCGGTAAAAGACGTGCCTTCACGTCTCGCAAGTCTCACTGTAGAAACTGACAGGCCATTTGTGCGAGGAGATTAGCATGGAAATGGAAATTCAGTTCGCCCTTTAATAAGAAACGCTTCCGCATGCCAGAAGTATAGACAGCTTGTCGGGACAAAGTTCACCATTTTTGCTATCCTCTAAATTACATTCCCAAAAATAAATATGTTGTTTATTGCACCCCGTGTAAATAGATCTAATGTAATTCTAATATTTTATTTAATATTAATAATAATATGAAATTTGGTATAATTTAATATAAAATTTAATATAATTAAATTATGTTTAATTAAAGTTTATTAATTTAATTTATTATATCAATATTGAATGTAATATTTAATATTAATATACTTATCAAAATAACAAAAATTAGAAAATATTTTTTAACAATATTAGTATATAGAACCTTAGGAATTAATTTGGATTTTATTTCTAAAAAGAACATCTAGTAATGTGAAATTAGAAGTGATGGAAAAATAAACAATTCCAAACTTTTTATAATCTTAAATAAAAAATATTCTCTTTTATTTTTATTTAAAATAAATTTGAAGAAATTTTGAGGAGGTTTTATATCGAGGTCATAATTTAAAAGTTTAATGAACTAAATATGTGGGAATTTTAAAATAGTGTGTAGAAATATCCTTTAAAAAAACTTCATGTTTTGTATTTGCGTAAGATTGTAAAATAAATATAAAAGCCTAAATCACAATGTCTTTGTAGACATCAAAATGTGAAACGCGATCGAAGCTGCAAATCGACCACGCACGTACTAAATTCGATATTCACTTTTCGCTTTGTATTCTTCCTCGGTACTCTCTCCTGAGAGAAAAGCGCCATCCGCAAACCTGTATAGTTCACCACAAAAACTTCGCATGCCACGATTACAGAGGTGCCTTCATAAATAATTTATCAGGTTGACATTCGTGGGGTTTTTTTCCACAAAGAATGTGCATATTAATTAAAAAAATTCTTTTTCTCGAGGAAATATAAATTAAGATCCTCTCCCCGAAATGAATACATGCATTTACTCGCACCTCATGAAATATATGTAATATAACTATTTAAGCATTTAGACTTAATTCGTCCACTTGTCTAGTTAACATTTGTCTAGATGTGCTATTGAAATTACGTGACTTGGCATACATATTTTGGCAATGACGTACTCGCAGAGTGAAATCAATCGATGCGTCCGACATCAATCCGAGGTGCGTGTTTGACTTCCCAAATAGAATGTTGCACAATGACGTTATCGGTTAATCTATCTCGGATATCGGTTAAGCTATCTCCATCGTCGAAGAATTAGGTCGCTGTGCTGAAATTGTAAATATCAGGAAAAAAATGTAAAAATAAATAATTAAGAAGTGCGACTTAAATATATAAAAAATAATAATGCATTCATATCGAATTAAAATAATTTTGAAGATATAAAAATAATTAAATAATCTTAAATCCTAAGAAAATGATCTTAAATTTTGTAAAATAATTTATTTTTTTATTAATAATTTTATATTGAATAATAATTACAAAGGTTAAATACAATAATTTCCTATTTTCTTCATCATATGCATAATATTAATAAACTGTACATTAATATCTTAACTTTTTGGAAAATGTTCTATATTATATAATAATAAATTCACAATAATATTTATTATTCTTATTAGAGCAAAAATTAAGTTTTAACATAAATTTTTTTGTTTTTGAAATAGTCATAAAAATATACATAACTTTAACATTTCAAGGAACTATGTAGTTTCCTCGATATAAAAATGTTTGAATCCATTAATGGAAATGATAAAAGGATCGGATGATAAAAATCAATAAAAATAATACAGCTGCGATTGTGTTTCGCGTGTCAAGTTTTCTATGATTCCATTTGCTTAATCAATTTGTTAATCAATTATTTAATCAATTTAATTTAACTTCATTTAAACTCATTTAAAGGAGAAATTTTGATAATGTAAAGCTACATTTCATCGTTATCAGTAGGTCGGGCTAAATTAAAGTCAAGGATTTCGTCCGATGTTAAAAAACGGACATCGCTGTCTTCCGAGAGCGCCGATCCGCTCGCTCCTCTTTTATAAGTTTTCCTCCTTCTGATAACAATAATCACAGTTGCAAGTGCCACACAAAGCACGACCAAAGTTGCACCCACTGCGGCGACGATTTCCAATATTTCGATGCCTCTACCCTGTTTCACCTTTTCTGGATTTTGCTCCACAGTGTGTAAATCTGCAAATTTTTCTCATTGTCAATAACATAAAAGAGCAACATAATCCTAACAACAAAAATGATTATTGAACTGCCATTTTAAATCATCAAATTAATTACATATTATATTATAGTGTACAAATAATTGAAGTTTTTTAAAAATAAATTAAATTAGTTTGTGTCAAGATGTGCTATTTGTGTTAAAAATCTTACATTTTTTTCTTTCGACTTGTCAACTAATAGTTATGTATGTCAAGAAAAAGGTCGGTCAATATTTATAATAAATATAGATACATTATACATTTGTGATGCAATTGTTCAAAATTGTCTATATCTGAACTTTTTAACTCACTTCGAACTTTCTTCAAGAACTAAACTAGATCAAGACGTCCCATCGCGATTTAATATCAAATAATATTTCTTACTTTCTCAGTATATAATGAAATAAATATACCAGATCGATCTTGAAGTTCTATGTATTTCGTTGTCGAAGTTTTTATATGGAGTACGAAAGGTGTTTCTTTCGTTTCCGTCTGCTGCGTTAATTTTGCAGGAGTTGTTCTCCGTATGGTCGGTTTCTTGGTTTTAAGCTTCATTTGAGACGTTGTAGTCGTAGATCTTCGCGTTGTCATCAATGTTGTCGATGTCGTCAAGTTGAATATACCTGGATCGATATCATCCTTCGGATTTATAGGAAATCCTGTCAGAGTAGAATTCTTCACCGGTGCAATCGTCGCTGCACTCGGTGATCCTGTCATGACATTATCGAGTATTGTACTATATCCTGCAATCATAATTAAGATTCCAATCATAGAACTGTTGCAAAATTGAATGATATACCATATTTGGAATCCAGCGCTATTGTGATTTTACATAATTTGATTTCAATAAGCATATCCTATCAAAACATCCTATTGGGGATCCTATTAAAATAGTAAACAGTTACCTAGTATGCAATATTCAGCGTAATCTGGGCAGCAAATAGAGCGTTCCGCACAATCGATCGTGCAAAGGCAACTCTCCGGTCCAAATGGCGGAATAGAAGCAATGCTTTCTGATGAAACGCATCTGTCTCGACAGGTTTGTTGCGCGTTAACTATTTCGATTTGATCTAAAACAGATTTTTCAGAATAGATATTTATGCAGTCTATTTTTCTTTATAAATACACAATTTTTTGACAATGACATTAATTTCTAGATATTAATTTCTATAAAAATTATATTGATATAGAAATAAATAGCACATTTCTATATGTACATAGAAATTATTGTCATATTGTTAAAAAAAATTTTGACAAAAATGATGATTTTATGTGGAATATTAATATCACATTTCTATGAAAATTAATATTATATTGTCAGAAAGAATATCTGCAAAATTTGTTCAAATATTTAATACCCTGTATTTTATTTTACTGCAAGGTAATCGTTGAAATAAAATTGCGACGTCTGGAGTTGACAGTGATCTTCAAACTGAAATATATTTCAAATATTGTACGTAAAATTTATTTTAAGGAAAATTTAATTTACACGTTACTTTTTGCAAATATTTTTCGAAAATTTTGTCAAATAAATTTATATAATACTTGCAATTACTCTATTTTTATAATACTTGCAATTACGCAAATACGTCAATTTTCAATTTTAATAAATTAATTTTAATAAAAATTACCCTCATCGCTTACAGTTACGTTGACAGATTCGTTTTTAACAATACAATCGTCTCCTTGTAAAATAGCGACATCGTCTATTGCGATATCGCTCACGTAAGTGGTACCTCGCACTCCTTCTACGATAA